CCCCTCCGGGCCAGGACCTTCCTGTATCCCCTGTGTCGAGGGTCGCCTCCGGGCTACTCCTCACTCCTCCCACTTCCCCCCGACAGAGGCTCCCCTGCAGACGCTTCACATGGATGTGTGGGGCCCAGCCCCCGTCCGTGGGCAGGGTTACGAGCGCTACTTCCTGTTGGTGGTTGACGACTACTCGCGTTACACCACAGTCCTCCCCTTGCGCAGCAAGGGTGCGGTCACTGAGGTGCTGATCGACTGGATCCGCGAGGCTCGTCTCCAGCTCAGGCAGAGCTTCGGCTCGGACTTTCCTGTTCTGCGTCTGCACTCGGACAGAGGCGGAGAGTTCTCTTCTCGCCTTCTGCGAGACTACTGTCGTGCACGGGGGATCCGCCAGACCTTCACGCTTCCGGACTCACCACAGCAAAATGGGATTGCTGAGCGCCGCATTGGTATGGTCATGGATGTCGCTCGTACGTCCATGATGCATGCGGCTGCCCCCCATTTTCTGTGGCCGTTTGCGGTGAGGTACGCGGCGCATCAGCTCAACCTTCACCCCCGGGTCTCTCGGCCTGCGATGTCCCCAGCCTTGCTGTGGACGGGGAAGGTTGGCGATGCGTCTGTGTTCCGTGTCTGGGGATCTCGGGCGTTTGTCCGCGACTTGTCTGCGGACAAGCTGTCCCCTCGTGCTGCTCCCTGTGTCTTCCTTGGCTTCCCCACTAACGCCCCAGGGTGGCAGTTTTACCACCCCTCCTCTCGTCGTGTTCTGTCCTCCCAGGACGTCACGTTCGACGAGTCAGTCCCCTTCTACCGTCTCTTCCCCTACCGCACTCCTTCCCTCCCCCCTCCCCCGGACTTCCTTGTGCCGGTTCCCCCCCCGGTAGACCCCCTACCCCCTCAGGTTCCTGCCCCCTCAGGTGTGTCCCAGGTAGACGCCGTTGACCCGGTCGAGGTTACTGGTGACTCTGGTGCTGCTGCGGGTGCTGAGCCTGGGGGTGCTGACTCTGGGGGTGCTGTGCGCGGGGGTGCTGAGCCTGGGGGTGCTACTGCTGAGGGTGCTGGGCCTGAGGGTGCTACTGCGGAGGGTACGGAGCCTCGGGTTGCTGAGCCGGGGGGTGTTGTGCCTGGAGGTGCTAGGTCTGGGGGTGCTGGGTCGGGAGCTGCTGAGCCTGGGGGTGCTGAGCTGGGAGCTGCTGAGCCTGGGGGTGCTGCGTCTGGAGGTGCTGAGCCTGGGGTTTCTCCTGCTGCCGCGTCTCGCCGGGAGCCCCTCTCTCCACAGGAGCTGCGCGAGTGGTTCGCTCGCCGCTGAAGGCGTGCTGCTGAGTCTGGAGGTGCTGCTGGAGCTGGAGCTGGAGCTTCTTCGACCGTCGAGGGTGCGGGTGCTACCGGTCCCGGAGCTGCTGGACCTGCGGGTCCTCCTGGAGCTGGAGCTGCTGAGGGCGCTGGTGCTGAGCCTACTGCTGTTGGTCCTACCGCTGGAGGTGTGGGTGGCGCTGGTGCTGTCGCTGAGGGTGCTGGTGCTGTCCCTGCTGCGTCTGGAGCTGCCGCGCGGCCTCGGCCGTACTTCGTTCCGCTCCTGCAGCAGGTTCTTGGTCTTTCTCCTCTAGTAGAGGGTCCACCGCCTGTCCAGTCGCAGTCCCTGCTGGAGCCTTCCTCTCCACTGCCTGCTCCCTCTCCTTACACTGGTCCTACTGGAGGTCTTGCTGAGCGTCGTGAGCCTGCGTCTCGTCCCGCGTCGCCTGTTTGCACTGCACGCGCTAGTGGTCGCAGTTCGCGTCAGCGTCCTCCTCCTGTCCCTGGCACGCACCGGATGTCTTTGCGTCCGTCCATTGCTCCTCTGCGTGCCCCTTTGCCTTCTCCTCCTGAGTCCTCTCTTCCTGCGCTTGCCGACCCTGAGTCGGACTCTCTTCGTGCTGCCAGTCCTACTGTCACGCGTCTGCTTGCTACTGTCGTCACTGACCCCTCTTTTGAGTCCACTACTGCGTCTGCTCTAGTCGCTGAGCTCGTCGACTTTGCTGCTCGCTGTCGTCTTGACTACGCTGCTAGTCTTGTTGCTGAGTCTGCGTCTGTCTGTCCTCCGTCCGTCGGGGGTGAGTGTGCTCTTGGCACGGACGTCCTAGAGGACAGGCAGAAGGAGTTACAGTGTCTAGCGGCTGCTTCACCTCATCTCGCGTCTGTACTGCTTGCCCCTGAGGGAGACCCGGATGCACTAGACATCCCGACTCCGCGTTCTTACGCGGAGGCCGTAGAGGGTCCCTACTCCTCTCAGTGGGAGGCAGCTATGGATGCAGAGATGGCTTCCTGGAAGTCCACAGGCACCTATGTTGACGCGGTTCCCCCTCCTGGGGCGAACATCGTCAGTGGCATGTGGATCTTCAGGGTGAAACGGCCGCCGGGCTCTCCACCTGTCTTCAAGGCACGGTACGTTGCTCGTGGCTTCAGTCAGCGGCAGGGAGTTGACTACTTTCAGACCTTCTCTCCCACCCCGAAGATGACTACTCTTCGGGTGCTGCTGCACATAGCAGCTCAGCGCGACTACGAGCTTCACTCTCTCGACTTCAGCACTGCGTTCTTGCAGGGTAGCCTGCACGAGGAGATCTGGCTTCGCCGTCCACCTGGCTTCACTGGGACTTTCCCTCCTGGGACCCAGTGGAGCCTCCGACGGCCAGTCTACGGTCTCCGCCAGGCACCGCGTGAGTGGCACGACACACTGAGGACTACGCTTGCGGCTCTTGGGTTTGCTCCTTCTACTGCTGACCCGTCGCTGTTTCTTCGCACCGACACTTCCCTGCCGCCGTTCTACATCCTCGTGTACGTCGACGACTTGTTCTTTGCCACAGCAGACACTGCTGGACTCCCCTACGTGAAGTCCGAGCTGCTGAAGAGACACACGTGCACAGACCTGGGTGAACTGCGCAGCTACCTTGGCTTGCAGATCACTCGGGACAGAGCACGCCGCACCATTACCTTGACTCAGACACACATGGTGCAGCAGGTCCTTCAGCGCTTCGGCTTCACGTACTCCTCGCCTCAGGCCACTCCTCTGCCTACTCGCCACTCACTCTCAGCTCTGCCTTCGGATGAGTCCGTAGAGTCGAGTGGTCCGTATGCAGAGCTTGTTGGCTGCCTCATGTACCTGATGACCTGCACACGACCTGACCTTGCATACCCTCTGAGCATTCTTGCTCGTTATGTTGCTCCTGGGAGACACAGACCGGAGCACATGGCTGCAGCGAAGAGGGTATTGCGCTACCTGTGCAGTACGTCGGGCATGGGGCTTGTGCTTGGAGGGCAGAGTCCAGTGGTCCTTACTGGGCACGCGGACGCTTCTTGGGCTGACGACCAGGCTACACAGCGGTCGTCACAGGGTTACACCTTCAGCCTTGGTTCCGGCTCTGTCTCGTGGCGGTCTACTCGCTCGTCTTCTGTTCTCGGCTCCAGTTGTGAGGCTGAGATCTACGCCGGGGCCATGGCTGCACAGGAGCTTCGCTGGCTCACCTACCTGCTGACTGACCTTGGAGAGCCGCCTCGTTCTCCTCCAGTGCTGTACGTAGACAACAAGGCCATGCTGGCCTTGTGTCGAGAGCAGCGCTTGGAGCACAGAACGAAGCACATTGCTCTCCGCTACTTCCTTGCTCGTGAGCTGCAGCAGCGTGGTCAGTTGCGACTTGCGTACGTGGCCTCTGAGGCCAACACTGCTGATGTGTTCACCAAGGCACTCGCGCCTTGTGACCATCAGCGCTTTTGCACCCAGCTGGGTCTTGTGCCTGTCTTGCCTCACTTGCTCTCCTCTTGACTTTACTTGTACTGTGACATATATATACCTGCTCTTGCTTGTCTAGTTATATATATATATGTCTGTACTCCTGCATGTGAACTGGCCTCTGGCCCTGCTCTTGTGCTCGGACTGTGTGGTGACTTTGTGATCCACCCTGAGCTTTCTCTGCTTTGCTTTACTTGACTGGTCTTGTGACCCCTTGTTCTCCCCCACTTTGCCTATGGGGGTGTGTCAGATTTATATGACATATTTGCTGTAGGCTATAGTGGGGTAGCACATATGGGGTACAGGGTTTCTAGGGTTGTATTTGTACCCAATCTTTCCTTAGTCATTCTCATTCCTGTTTTCATTACTTCACAATCTCCTCCTTGCAACTTCAACCGAATCAAAATTTCGAGTGTAAATAATCAGAATCGTGCGGGGTCGATACTCTGCCGGTGCACGGAGGCAAAAGTTACACGTCAGACTGCTGGAATGCCAGCTCATACTGACTGGACGCGCAAGATGTGAGGTCCTCAAAGTCAATCGAATAAAAAATGGTTGTGTCCTCGCTGCAAAATTGGATTTCGTTACCGTTCTAATCAAAATTTAAAATTGAAATTAGACATGCGCTTATAATAAGTAAGGGTTTTACAGGGGGTGCGCTTATAATTGAGGAACGGGCATAAGCGCAGTGCTCCAGATATAAGCGCATGCGCTTATCATATCTGGGGTGATACGGTAACACAAACACCGTCAATCACGGGCGGGAAACCAAAGTTTCCCGAGCGCGGCACTGCAGAGTCGCGTTGCGTTGGTACAGACGCTGATGCAGACATGTGAGAAATGTTCTATATCGGTGCTTTTGGAAAACATTGTGATCAACTTATATTTTGGATGTAACGATGAGATTTCAGCGTCGAAATTTTGTGTTGTATGAATTTTCAGCCTAAGAACTTGAGGCAACGCTGACGGCCAGAGTTGAGAGCGGTGCACGCTGATCGATCAGTGTGCTCCAAAACGAATATAGGGGCCTGTGCCGGTGGGTGACAAGGAGGATAGGCGACCGTGGTTGGGGGAACGCAACAGGTCGTGCTTCCTGTACGGACATCTATGCATGCGTGGCGCGGCGCGGCACTAGCGTGTGGGGCTGCCAGGCGGACCAGACCAATCAATGGCAGCACACTCCAGCAGCACCAGCTGCACATCTCCAGCACAAATCTGCCCATTGCTGTCGGAACAGCACCCCTAGAGGCTAGAGCTCCCCGGTGCAGAAGTGTGGCGCCGTCGCCGTGTTCCTTATGCACTTCCCAATGGCGCTCAAGCAAGCACAAGTATGCAAGAACTCTGCACACTCTGCAGCACAAATCTGCCCGTCGCCGCCCGCGAACGTTGCCCCTAGAGCTCCCCAGCGCGGTGCAGCACAAATCTGCCCAGTGCAGAAGTGCGACGGGGATGTGGGAGGGCATAGGAGGAGAAGTGACAGTGATGGCATAGGAGGGAGAAGTGAGAGCGACGGCATAGGAGGGAGAAGTGAGAGCGACGGCATAGGAGGGAGAAGTGAGAGCGATGGCATAGGAGGGAGAAGTGAGAGCGACGACATAGGAGGGAGAAGTGAGAGCGACGACATAGGAGGGAGAAGTGAGAGCGACGGCATAGGAGGGAGAAGTGAGAGCGACGTACGAAGATAATAGGTAGAATCAGGAGCCATAGCCAGGAAAGCCCTAGCTAGGCACGAGAGAGTTTAGGCAAAGAGGAAGTTCACTAGCAAGAATGAGGATACAAATAGCAAACCCTAGATGGGTTGTACTCGCTATAGAGCATCCCACTACAGGCTAGAGAATAACATTCTGACACACCCCCATAGCCAAAGTGGGGTGTAATCAGCACAGTGAGAAAGCAGGTATAGAGCAGGAGTTTACACAGATAAGAAAAGCTAGTGCTAATCACAGCGGACAAGTGAGGAGGAGGAGGAGCTGTGGGGGAGAGAAGATGGGAGGCGACTGCTGACACTGCAGACACACAGAAGAGCTGCTGGCTCAGTGGCTACCGGAATAGCGCTCCGGACTACTAGAGTAACTGGCCCCGCGGCTAAAAGTAGCGGCAGATGAGCAACGGACCCACGCGCGACTAGCGACTACCGGAGATTGTAGCCTCCGGACTGCTGCTGTTGCTGACGACAAGACTGCTGCCTCCACTCAACCTCCCCCAACTGCCCCACACTCTCGACACACGCCCACTGCTCAAACCCTAGCTCCACTCCCTCGCACCCCCTTTAAACCCTAAACCCCAGTCTCCCACTCATCCACCCCCCTCAGCGACAGCTGCAGCAGTGGGAGACGAAGGAGGAGGAGAAGAAGGGTACAGCACGCACAACGGACACCCTCACAACCACCACCCCCACTCTCCTCACCCCCAAACCCTAGAACGGGTGTGACGGGGAGGAACGCGGGGGACGACGGGAAGAACGGTGCGCGGCCCCCAGGGCGCCACCACGGGGCAGCGAGGGGCCGCGCGCCGCTCCCCCGGGCGCCACGAAGGGGCAGCGGGAGGGCGGCGACGGGGCCGCAGCGGCGACGAGGCCGCTGCCCGCGGCGGGCGGGGAAGGGGTTGCTGCGGGCGGTGACGGGGCCGCTGCGGGCGGCGACGTGGCCGCGGTGGGCGGGGAAGGGGTCGCTGCGGGCGGCGACGGGGCCGCTGTGGGCGGCGACGAGGCCGCTGCGGCAGCGACGGGGCCGCGCGCGACTCCCCATGGCGTCGCAACGGACGGGCGGGGGCCGCGCGCGGCTCCCCTGGGCGGCGCGACGGGGCAGCGGGGGCGGCGCGTCAGAAAAGAAAGGGGCCGCGCGCCCCGGGGCGCGCGCCAGAGTGCAAATGCGGTGATTTGCACTCTGGCGTGCACACCACGGGGCGTGCGACAGAGCGAGTAGCAGCGGAATCAGTAGTACCCACAGGCCAACAGTGTAACCGCTCTGAAACCATGTGAAGATAATAGGTAGAATCAGGAGCCATAGCCAGGAAAGCCCTAGCTAGGCACGAGAGAGTTTAGGCAAAGAGGAAGTTCACTAGCAAGAATGAGGATACAAATAGCAAACCCTAGATGGGTTGTACTCGCTATAGAGCACCCCACTACAGGCTAGAGAATAACATTCTGACACGACGGCATAGGAGGGAGAAGTGAGAGCGACGGCATAGGAGGGAGAAGTGAGAGCGACGGCATAGGAGGGAGAAGTGAGAGCGACGGCATAGGAGGGAAACGTGAGAGTGACGACATAGGAGGGAGAAGTGAGAGCGACGGCATAGGAGGGAGAAGTGAGAGCGATGGCATAGGAGGAAGAAGTGAGAGCGACGGCATAGGAGGGAGAAGTGAGAGCGACGGCATAGGAGGGAGAAGTGAGAGCGACGGCATAGGAGGGAGAAGTGAGAGCGACGGCATAGGAGGGAGAAGTGAGAGCGACGGCATAGGAGGGAGAAGTGAAAGCGACGGCATAGGAGGGAGAAGTGAGAGTGACGACATAGGAGGGAGAAGTGAGAGCCTCCCGAAGTTGCGCACTCGTTAGGAAGGGCGGCGCGGCGAACGGGATGAAAGGAGGAGGGGAGGGTGGAACAGAGAAAGGGAGCAAGTCGCGTAGTGGGCGAGGTAGTGAGGAAGGTAAAGTGCGTGATGGCAGGTGAGAGGAAAGAGTGACGGGGCGATGTGGCCATCTCCAAAAAGTGGCACACCCTAGCCTGACCTCCCGCAATTGCTAACCCCGAAGTCACTACTAGGTTATCTGAACCTCACCTGAAGGTGACTTACAGGTCAAGTGCAGTCTGCCGAGACCCGCAGGTCGCCTTCAGGTCATAAATTTGAGTAGGAAAAACGCGGCTGACCCGAAAATGACCCCAACCTGACCTCGGACCGCGCTCCCGAAAATATCGAGCCGTCATCCCGTAGAACATTGGCCAATCAGAAGGCAAGAACATGCAGCAAATGGCCCGGGTCGCATCGAGGGAAAACATTGACCAATGTCACGTCGAAATAGCCCGGGTCGCATCTTCGAGCTGACATTGACGAATCGCATGCTTTTGGAAAAAAAAAATAACCGCAAGGGTTGAAATAACGCAAAACTAAAATTACCCTCGTAGCAAACTAAAATTTACAATATACGCATTTTGTAAATAACCAGGTTGCCAACTTGTAAAAATGATAGTCTTACTATGGGTTCCCGTAACTGTGAAATCTGGTTACACGCCACCATTTCGTGCGTGACATGCGTAGCATCCGTCGCGTCTGTGAAATGAACTGTGAAATGAACTAGGAATGGGAGCACAAGTGTGGTAGTTAAGATTTAGGGCCTAGGCTTAGTAGCATAGACCAAGAGGGAGTCGAGAGATTTGTGCCAAGAGAAAAAGTGATGCAATATGAGAAACAAGTACAAGTTATAGTTCAAGAAGGGTGCACCACCAATCAAGAACAAATATATGACTACACTACAGCTAGAACTGAATGCAGTTATATATAATTCTGACATCCCCCTGTAACTGCATGCAGGAATAGTGAAGTGAAATACACAACCTGCAGGAGTACACCACAGACATAGAAAACAGCAACAGTAGGCAACACCTCCATCCCCTCACCCTCCCCCTCCCCCTCCCCCCCACAATGCTGCAGGAGCAGCAGAGGGGGGGAAGAGAGGAGAGGTGGAGGGACGGCTGCTGGTTGGTCTCACACCCGCCACCCCAGTGCCTCTCCCCCGGCTCCCCCACACCCTCACACCCTCCCCCCCAGCGGCAGCTGCAGCAGTGGGAACGAAAGGAGGAGGAGGGGAAGGGAAGCACTCCAACCATCACCCCAACACCCGCCACCCCCATACCCTCCCCCCCACGGCTGCTGGGAGACAAAGGAGGAGGGGGTGGGCGGGGAGAAAGCCGCAGAGCGGCTACAGAGGGTCGGCGCGGGTAGGTCAGGGGCGGCTGCAGTGAGTGCAGGCACGGGGTGAGGCAGAGGTGGCTGCACCGAGTGCAGGAGCGGGGGCGGCTGCTCCAAGGGCAGGCGCCGGGTGGTGCAGAGGCGGCTGCAGCGAGTGCAGGCGCGGGTGAGGCAGGGGCACCGCCGAGTGCGCCAGGGGCGGGTACTCGGCGGCTCAGGACACCGTCGCAGGCGCCATAGGCGGTTCCACGGCGGCTGAGGGCACCGTCGCGCACCACGGGGCACGCGACGGGCAGTTTAGGGCACCGTCGCATGCCACAGGGCGCACGACGGGCAGGGCACCGTCGCGTGCCACGCGGCGCACGACGGGCAGGTTTAGGGCACCGTCGTGTGCCACGGGGCGCACGACGGGCAGGGCACCGTCGCGTGCCACGCGGCGCACGACGGGCAGGTTTAGGGCACCGTCGTGTGCCACGGGGCGCACGACGGGCAGGGCACCGTCGCGTGCCACGGGGCGCACGACGGGCAGAGAAGATGCCACTCGCCACCAGGGGGCGGGACAGGACAAAAATCGCCACGCGCCCGAGGCGCGCGACCGGAAAAATAGCAGCGGAAGCGTGAGGCGGGCCCACAGGCCAGGATTTAACTCGCTCTAATGCCATGTGAAATGAACTAGGAATGGGAGCACAAGTGTGGTAGTTAAGATTTAGGGCCTAGGCTTAGTAGCCTAGGCCAAGAGGGAGTCGAGAGATTTGTGCCAAGAGAAAAAGTGATGCAATATGAGAAACAAGTACAAGTTATAGTTCAGGAAGGGTGCACCACCAATCAAGAACAAATATATGACTACACTTCAGCTAGAACTGAATGCATTTATATATAATTCTGACAACGTCACCATGGGCGACCTGTGAGCGAAACAATGTTACAAAGTAAACCCTGTGAGGGCAATACAAGAACACACAAATTCAGAGCAGCCTATCACGAGCACGGAAGAAGAAACAAGCGAGTCTTGTACACTTTGGCATAGCCATTGGCCTGGAAACTGGAAACACTGCCAACTCAAATGGTTGAAGGCAGTAAAAGTTCGCCACCTGTCATGCACAGGTGGTCGCAATCTGCCAGCTGCGCCGAAACCTGCACACCTGTCATTGGAAAATTAGCTGAACAGAAGTAGAGGCAACCATATAATCCAGGTCACCCACTGTCCCCTCCACCCCTTTCAGCATATCTCGCCCAACCTCATTACCGCTCAGAAATAATTCAGAACCGTGCAATAACGTGATCAACCCCGAGCATCCTGACGTTTGCCCACTCTTGTAGCTGTCTATCTTTGCTTTGCAGTGTCGATATTTGTTCATTTGGAATAGCCGCTCCACTCTTGTATCTGCATGTTTACCAACTGAGCACTTGAAGATAATTAGACCGTTACCATGATGTGGCGCTGTTAGTACTTGTTCGAAGTTTCCCCTCGATTTTGCAGGCTCTTCTAGCGAAGGCCCCACCGGATCGGTCGTTAGGCTCTACCGAGTACCCGTAGTTGCCTCGTGTTTTTGTTGAACAGTAAAAGTGGTTATTCCCCTTCTCCTTGCCCCTCGCTTCCGCAGGCTCTTCCAGGGGTGGTGGCAAGGAGCGAGGGCGCGGGGGTGATTGGCCGGGTGGCTGTGATGGGCGGATGGTTGTGATGGGCGTGGTGGCGGTGATGGCAATCGTAAGTACCGACGAGGGTCTCACCAAGGGCAGTCAAACGTAGCGCCACTGACGCAACAACGGCTCCATCTGTGGCTTCTTCCCCATGGCTCATGCTGCTACTAGCCCTGTGGGGTGACCATGAACATCAACTTAGGTAAGTTCACGTTCCTAGTATGGCACTACATATGGCGGCTTTTGTTATTAACATGTTTATGTCTCGCTTGTGTATCGAGTTCCTAACCTAGTCACATGTATGCCTTCCCAACCTGACATTACATAGACTTGTTTTTTATTTTCCAGCCTCACAATGCGTTCTGATTGTGTGCAGCAGTTGCTATGCTTATCTGGTGGGAGTATGAGCATTTTCGGTGTGGTCGAAGTAACAATTAGTCCAGCACCTTGGTATGTACTGTCGTTTACCTGTCAATGTTTTCTCCGGCTGCATTTGTTTGGGTATGGTGGATATAGACTCTCTTTTTCTGCTGCTGGTGTGTGGCAGGTGGTGTTCAAGGTGCAAGATCTGTAGGGGTTTGTTACTTACCATGCCTTGTTGCTATGTAGTGCGTAGATGTGCATATCATGTGTGTAATGTGCAGCTGTAGATTCGCTGCATTTGCTTGTATAATGCACCTGGATGTATTGAAGGATTCTAATCCCAACTTGGTAACTGCTGGATTTATTTGTTCATTCTAAATATGTAAAAATGAATTCTTACAATTCAGTGTAGCACGAACAGTGAGTATTCACTATAGCATGTATAGGATCACTCCATAGCGGTTCGCGACTCGGGTGAACAGTGACGACCTGCGCGTCACCTCTGGGTTGGCTGCGAGGTGAGGTTGGGGTCTGGTTCGGGTGACCCAAACTTGACGGACCCTGGGACCCTAGCTAAACCTGGGCGCATGACTCCAAGGTGACCTCGAAGTCAATTTTGGGTCAGGTTGGGGTGAGACCTTTTTAGAGATGGCAGAAGAAGAGAGGAAAAGTAGGGGAGCGAGCAAGGGAAGAGAAGTCGAAGGGCGAATAGGAGGAGGGGAAGAAGGAAGGATGGGAGGGCGGGAGGATAGGGGAAAAGGACGAAGGTGGCAGAGAGGTCGGGAAGCGATAGAGGGGCGCATGGGAGAATGGTTGGAGGGAGCAAGGGATGAAGGGAGCGCTGGTGGAAGGGAGGTAGAGAGAAGGGGAGGAAGGGATTAGTGGTGAAGCGGACGAAGGGAGGTGGGAAGGAGGATGGGGGGAAGGAGGAGGGGGGAAAGGGATGGAGGAGGAATGAGGGGGGAATCGAGAGGGGATATTTGACAGAGAGGAGAGATGATGGGGAGACGACGAGGAGGAGTTGCGACGAGGAGGAGCTGCGAGATGCGACGGGCTGCGACGGGGAGGAGACGCGACGAGGATATGCGAGATGCGACGGGACTGAGATGCGACGGGTGATGCGATGGGAGGAGATGCGACGGGAGGAGATGCGACGAGAGGAGATGCGACGGGGAGATGCGACGAGGAGATGCGACGGGAGGAGATGCGACGGGGAGATGCGATGGGAGATGCGACGGGGAGATGCGACGGGAGGAGATGCGACGGGGAGATGCGACGAGAGGATATGCGACGGGGCCGAGGATGCGACGGGGAGGAGATGCGGCGGGGAGGAGATGCGACGGGAAGGAGATGCGACAGGAGGAGATGCGACGGGAGGAGATGCGACAGGGAGATGCGACGAGAGGAGATATGACGGGGCCGAGGATGCGACGGGGAGGAGACGCGACGGGAGGATATGCGACGGGGAAGAGATGCGACGGGGAGATGCGACGGGGAGATGCGACGGGAAGATGCAACGGGGAGATGCGACGAGAGGAGATGCGACGGGGAGATGCGGCGGGGACTTCACGCGCGTGTTACCGTCCACGCGCAGGAGGGGA